TTTTACAATGTGGCATAGTGGTTAAGATGTCGAGCTTATATGCGGCACTGGCACGGTTCGAGTCCGGCTGGGGATGCCTATGAGGATTAGGCAAGGTCAAAATTTCAGTCCATCTTGAATAGGAAGCAAATATGTGAACTTTAATTGAAACGTGTGGATTACTCATATGCTTGTGGTAGAATTCAACTTCCACACCCCTTATCACTTTAGGCAAAATAGGATGAATTCATCTCATATAAATGTTTGCTTAATGACATGTAGATACGATAGTATCTGATACTATCAAAAGTTACTGCCATCAAAACTTGATTGCCGGCATTATTTGAGTAAAAACGTCATTAATATTCCTTTTACTTAAATAAGACGATAAAGGGTGTTTACTTTCTTCATTATGAGGTGTTTACATATTTTCGTAACATACTCTTTTTGAATAGCATAAGCTAAGTTGAGTGCACTGGCAAATACATGTTTGATGTGTAGACTTTTTTTTCGTATGAAAGCGCAAGATGAAGAGATTCGAAGATAGAAGACGAAGGCCGATTTCCGGCTGCAGTCATCGTTTGCTGGTGAGATCGACTTGCGAATCTCTTTATCATGTACTTTCATACGAACTTAAAGGCTGCACAATAATATTATTTATGGAGATTGAATGAAACGCATGTTTGTCTAATTGTAAATCTCACTAGAAACGGCTATTTGGTAACGGTCTGTCTTCTTTATGAGACAAGTGCATCAATTTGGACAAGCATTGTAGATAGGTTAAAAGGTAACCTGTTGGCTTCCACAAATTGGTGAAAAAAGGGTTTGGCATGTCGGGGAAAATGGGCGCAATTCGAAACTGAAGAGAAAAATACCGGCTTTCTATTGAAGACGAATAAAAGCATCATTTCGCTAATGGCAAGTAAAATAAAAAGTTACAATTTTTAGTTCATTTTCTTTACCCTTCATTAACTCTTAATAAACTCTGGTGTATTTGCTCATGATCTTCTCCCTTACCCCATCAGATTGCTCAATCTCCAGAGGGATGCTCACGTGCGTGCGGACTAGTCAACATAAAGATAGCCGCTGTCTGGTTAGGCAAATTTTGTTTCTGTGGATCCAATTCATTGGATTCCCTCGGAGTCCTGAACGATCCGGTCTGCACAGCCAGTGACAGAGTGATGCTGTATGCGGCAGCCTCGGGCTCAAACCAATTTCTACTAACTGTGAGTTTTTTTCCACTAATGATGATTTATTCATCTAACGTTTATTTCATAAGCAGATA